CACCATTAATCGCATGTGATATTTAACGCGCATCTTATCAGGCGGGTTTTCACATTGAGCAGCCCGCAGGTGATGGAGATTTACCGCTGATTACAGAACCGGCTTTCTGACAAGATGCGCATTAAATATCGCATGCGATTTATCGTGCAGCCCTAGTTTGGAGCATCTATTGTGTCTGGTACTTTTATATTATACCTGGAATACTGTCTAGGCAGGCGGCTCACTGGGGTTTGGAACAGTCCCACCTGAATGCTCATGTTTCACATGGTGAATGGTGTTTCACAGGGATTTGAGACGCCGCTCCACTTTGCATGCAAGTTTGGCTGTCCAGAGGTGGTGAACATACTGTGTTCTCATCCAGATATCGACAAGAACTGCAAGAACAAGTACAACCAGAAGCCCTCTGAGGTACAGCAACTGTGATGCATTAGCTTTCATGCTGAAGATTTCATAATTTACCAAAGCTTATTTATCAGTCGTCCAATGTATTCTCTTAATTTAGGTAATTTGTGAAAGAATGAAAGAAAAGGGTAAGATTCAGGAGGTCAAACAGAAGATAAATGAATATTTAGAAGGCAAGTCAGCGATGTATAGTTTTGAATTTATTTATTATACTTTAAAAATTTAGATGAGTTGTATTCCATATTCTAACACTGATTTCTTATTGGCTACAGATCGATTATACATCCCCTTATTGAGAGCTACAGATAACTCCTCCCAACCTGTGATTGGTGCACCTTGGTCCCCTGAGCCAATGGAAAATCTGTCACCACGGTTACCCAGAAGCCCAAAGGATCCAGTTATGGCAGTCAGGGCCTTTGCTGGACCTTTAAATCCATCTAAAGTGAGTTTTGTACTAATGTTTAGTCATGTTTTATGACCTAATCAAATTTGTATATAAATTAAAAACATTTTTAATATAGGCAGATGAGTTCAGACGAGCGTGGAAGACTCCTCCCAGAGAACGGGCAGACCATTTCCACAACATCCTAAAGTCTGACCCAGACCGTGGAGCAGAAAGAGTTGGCAGGTCAGCGTTAAGATATAATTTAAGGAAGCTGGTCATTCATAGGAAGCTTGTATTATCATAGACACTTGTTTAATGTTTTTGGCATTTAAGAGTGCTATTAAGCATTGTTTAGATAATGGTGCCCTGTCTGTGAGTAGAGATCTGGCCCATGAGCTCGGTCACCCCTGGGCAGAGTACTGGGATTTTCTGGACAGTTTTGTGGACCTGCAGTCAAGCGAAGGCCTGAAAGTGCTTGAAGAATACCTCAGTAAAAAGGACTTCAGGGATCGAGCTCACGAGGAGGCTGGAGAGAACGAAACCAGCAACAGGTTTAAAACCCCATCTCCGGGTAAGACCACTGACTTTTAACATACCTGCAAACTTGTCACCTTTTGGCGAAATGTGTCATTCTGACAGGGCATTCGTGAGTGTATATCTAACAGTCAGACTGTACGACTGTCTTCAGAAAAGAGGCATTTTCTTTTCATCTTAAATCCATATGATGCCCAATAAAGTAATGTTTATAAGCGCAGCACTGTTTTGTTCACCTACTGTCAGAGTGAATTTGCGCTTTCTTTCATCCCGTCTGACGTTTTTGTTCAGAACAGTTGTATAACACATACATGATCTTTTATTTTTCAGAAATTTGAGCTATGTCATTTTCTCAAAATGTTTTATTTTTTTCAAAACTTTTATTATTGTTGTTTTTACAGTCTTTTAAAAGTTATCATATACATGGGTGCTTTCAAAAGAAAGTTGTTACCTAAAAAAATTAGGTTTTATTCTAGTTTTATTCTAATATCAACATTTTTCTGAAATGATTTCAAATGTTGGTTTATAGAATTTTTTTGAAGAAAAACGTCCCATTCAAAATGCATTTAATCGATCAAAAACGAGAACAAAGATTTGTCATTTTATATTCTACTCGTCAAAGAATTCTGAATAAAAATGTATCACGGTAAGCAGCACAATAAGATAAGAAGAAATGTGTCTTGAGTAGCAAATCAGAATTTTAGAATGATTTCCGAAGGATCATGTGACACTGAAGACTGGAGTAATGATGCTGAAAATTCAGCTTTGTCATTACAGGAATAAATTACATTATAAAATATAAAAAAATTATATCAATTAGGGATGCTCATTTTAACCGGTTAACCATTAACCGACCGTAATAATTTTGACCGATTAATACAATCAGTTAAACGTTAAAAAGTCATTTATTTTAATTTTTTTCTCAGTAATTCAAATATTTTAAAAGGTTTACTGCATGGTAGGGCTGGGCGGTAAATCGAGTTTGTACAATATATCGATATTTTATTTATAAGCGATACGACATGAGGCAATACCGTTTATATCGATATACAGTAGTTTGTTACGAGCGCATCTGAAAATATAGCGGAGAACACAGACTGAACTGCTGCGGAGAAAGTGCATAATACAATTAGTTCTAAACATGTGACAAGCTTTATATTAATGCCTTTAAAAACTGGTAAGACACAGTATAGTTTATAGTTTCGCATAGTTTAAGCGGCTCGGCCCGTCAGATGCTCTGACAGAAAAGGCTGTGTGTGCCGCTGACAGAGACGCTAGGCTTCTCGCATTATAATTAATTAATTATTATTATAATGTGTTTGAGATGTGCTGACTTCCTGAATGCATAACTTACATTTCACAGGTATATTCTCCATCTGTAAATGTTAGAAAGTCATGGAAATACTAAATTTTTCTGTCAGAAGTGCATGACCCTTCTGCTTTGCGATTCTCCGCTAAACTTCGTGGACAACATTGGGCAGTAAGTGAAATATATATATTAAATACAGATTTTTTTTTAATACAAAAACGAAAATACCAAGATATATATTGTATATCGCAAATCGTCCAAAAAATACCAAGATATTTGCTCATATCGCCCAGCCCTACTGCATGGTTAAAATAGGCGCTATGCGTATAAAAAATTTCGGGTTTTTTTAGAGACAAAAAAACTTAAGTCGCGTACAAATCGCATTGTATTACTTCATTCAGAAATAGACCTAATGCCTACGCGAAATGTTTACATTTACATTTAGTCATTTAGCAGACGCTTTTATCCAAAGCGACTTACAAATGAGGACAATGGAAGCAATCAAAATCAACAAAAGAGCAATGATATGCAAGTGCTATAACAAGTCTCAGTTAGCTTAACGCAGTACACATAGCAAGGTTTTTTTAAATTATATAATAAAAAGAAAACCGTTGAATGTCCACTTCTGAAACCAGACTAGTTGCTGTCGAGGAGGTTGTTCTGTGTGAGAAAGGCAGAGACTTGGTTGAACACAGTTCATTCAAGTGTTTTTGTAATGAAAGGAAGAAGGGAAACCGGTCTGTAGTGCTCTAAAAGAGATGGGTTAAGAGTGGGTTTCTTAGTGGGTTTATACGAGCCTGTCTAAATGCTGAGGGAAAAACACCAGTGTGAAGGGATAGTAGGACTGTACGAGCCTGTCTAAATGCTGAGGGAAAAACGCCAGTGTGAAGGGATGTGTTTATGATGTGAGTGAGTGCAGGTACAACTGCAGGAGAAATAGCTTGAAGGAGATGAGATGGAATAGGATCAAGCGGACAAGTAGTAGGATGATTAGAAAGGATGAGTTTGAGTTTACAAACATTATATTAAACACTGTAAACATAGATATGCTATTTTAGTTCTCCTCACTCCACAACAAATCCTTTCAATTTAACAGTAGCCTATTTAGAAAAGAACAAGAATTAAAAATATAAGAAGCTATAAATGACAAGCCAAAACAAATTATTTTAGGCTAAAACGAAACTGAAACCAACGTTGGGTCTCTCATTCAACACAAAATCAAATGTTTCCGTATTCGCGATGTATTTGAATGGCAAATTATTATTTATTATGTACTTATGCACTCGCGTTCCAATATCCAAGTAAAACAAAATGTTTTGCATAACATCACGGCGGTAGGCTACTGTCTACTGTGATAACACTTAACAGCACAGATTTTACTACATATTTTTTTTTACTAAATAGTTTTTTTCCCCCATATGTTTGACTGACTGTATTTTATTATGATAATGAACAGGCTGCATTGTCAAGGTAGCAATGCTTAACTGTGTGCGCGCATGTGGCGCCAGTGCAATCACTTTAATTTTTTTCCTTCTAACAGTGGAAGCAACTACTAATTTTAGTCGTAAAGATAATCGGAATTGTAAAAGGTTTGCTTTTATTTGTGTACGTTCACAATAAAAACTATTTTTCTACTAAAATATTTTTGCTTTTGTAAAATAGGCCTAAAGAAAAATAGGATGCCGCTTTCTGCCATCTTGGTTTCCTTTCGCGGAGCACAAAAACTAACCGAAACTCTGCATACTACTTGTTGCACAGTTTTTTCTTGCGTTTTCTTAATTTATTATTTAAGTAAAAATATATTTCTCGTATAGGCTTATTTATTAGTTTTTCCGCATTTCTCACCTGCTTTCTTGCCCTTACAGTTAAATAAGTTGTTTGCTTCTGTACATTGTAGATTTTTTTATGTAAATTGTGGCTGGCTTACGTTTGTTTGTAAAATGGGATGGAACTTTGTTTTGTGAATGTTTAAGTACAGTCAAACCAAAATTTATTCAGACACCTTCAATATTTCTCACATTATCACAGTTTATTCACTATAGTTTAGAAAATGGTAATAAAATATGACAAGAACTCATAGTTAAACTGTGTCGGAACAAATTCATCTTGATAATGTCAGATAACTTTGATATAAAGGTATGTAATGAATAGCTGTCAGCTGTTAAATTTAATTACATAATTAGATAATACCAATTTGGGTCAACCAATTACCAAGCAATGCTTAATTCTGTTCAGTCTGTGGTGTAAAAAGGTCAAATTGGCAATTATGTAGCCTACTTCACTCGCGTTCCAATATCCACGTAAAACAAAATGTTTTGCATAACATCACAGCGGTACGGTGAAAACACTTAACGGCACAGATTTTACTACATATTTAAACTGAGCAGTGTGTTTTTTTTTCATATGTTTGACTGACTGTATTTTATTATGATAATGAACAGGCTGCATTGTCAAGGTAGCAATGCTTAACTGTGTGCGCGCATGTGGCGCCAGTGCAATCACTTGAATTTTTTTCCTTCTAACAGTGGAAGCAACTACTAATTTTAGTCGTAAAGATAATCGGAATTGTAAAAGGTTTGCTTTTATTTGTGTACGTTCACAATAAAAACTATTTTTCTACTAAAATATTTTTGCTTTTGTAAAATAGGCCTAAAGAAAAATAGGATGCCGCTTTCTGCCATCTTGGTTTCCTTTCGCGGAGCACAAAAACTAACCGAAACTCTGCATACTACTTGTTGCACAGTTTTTTCTTGCGTTTTCTTAATTTATTATTTAAGTAAAAATATATTTCTCGTATAGGCTTATTTATTAGTTTTTCCGCATTTCTCACCTGCTTTCTTGCCCTTACAGTTAAATAAGTTGTTTGCTTCTGTACATTGTAGATTTTTTTATGTAAATTGTGGCTGGCTTACGTTTGTTTGTAAAATGGGATGGAACTTTGTTTTGTGAATGTTTAAGTACAGTCAAACCAAAATTTATTCAGACACCTTCAATATTTCTCACATTATCACAGTTTATTCACTATAGTTTAGAAAATGGTAATAAAATATGACAAGAACTCATAGTTAAACTGTGTCGGAACAAATTCATCTTGATAATGTCAGATAACTTTGATATAAAGGTATGTAATGAATAGCTGTCAGCTGTTAAATTTAATTACATAATTAGATAATACCAATTTGGGTCAACCAATTACCAAGCAATGCTTAATTCTGTTCAGTCTGTGGTGTAAAAAGGTCAAATTGGCAATTAAAGAAAAACAATTAATTAGATAATACCAATTTAGGTCAACCAATTACCAAGCAATGCTTAATTCTGTTCAGTCTGTGGTGTAAAAAGGTCAAATTGGCAATTAAAGAAAAACAATTAAGCAAAACATGGTCAGGTCAAAGTGTCTGAATAAGTTTTGGTACCAAATTTGTATCAGTTTTACTGGTAGTCCACTGTATGAAGGATTTTTGGGTATAATATAGTCTTTTGGATTTTTGGGTATAATATTATTATAATATAATAATAGTCACAGTTTACTTTTATTTTGCTATCCTCACTTAAATTAATGATCTATAGTGTCCTGCATCCACTAGTAAAAAGATATCAAAAATTATATCTGGTGTCTGAATAATTTTTGGTTTGACTGCACATCTACATTGTACATCAAAATTTTTGATTTTCAAGACCCAGGGAAATCCTTCACTCCATGATATATCCCCTTTTAAATTTCAGGCAAACTGAAGAAGTTCTGTAACTCCATCTCTGTGGGGACATTTTTGGATGAGGGTGACGATATCAGCCTGGAGGAGATCAAGAACAGGCAGAACGCTGCCCTCACCAGTATTTCTTCTGTGTGCTCCAAAGATGGCCTGCAGGGGGCGGTAGGGGGGCTTGAGTTTCACATCCTACCAGTCTCCCACAGTGCTGACCTCATCGAGGTGGCGGCGGAGCAGGATCTACTGCTCTCCAGCAGTAAAAACGGCCTGAGCGAGCAGGGCCCCGGGGACAGGACTCCAAACGGGGACAAAATGTCCCCTCGCATCTGCGGTTCATCAAATTCCTGCATTTTGTCGCCAATCTCAAACCTAATGGCTGAGTTTGAGAGGATGTCTCTGCTGGATGAGCCAGATAGGACAAACAGGGAGAGAAGAAGAAGTGGAGGGAAACGTCACAGAGACGCCCAGGCCACGGAGCTCACCTCTGGACTGGGCCGCCTCTCTTTGTCCTCGGAAGATGACTCCGTGTTTGATAAAGACATGACGTCTGCATTACAGGCAGCAGAGAATGATGGACTGGAGAGAAGAAACGACGTAGATGCGAGGTCCAGTGCAAGTTCAGATGAATACTTCCTGGCCAATGAGAGGTTAGAACCTATGAACCAACGGACTGTAGAGACTCCAGGGGGCGAGCGCACGATCTGCGCTAGATCAAAGTCCTGGGATCATGGGGGAAGAGACCTCAGCTCCTCCGGATCTTCCAGCTCCTACAGATCACTTGACAGTTCTCAGGACTTCATACTGCGGACTCCTCCTAGAGTGACGAAAAGACTCTTCATCGAAGGGTGAGAGGAGCCTGTGATCACTGTGATGCTTCGATATAAAGGCATTACTTATTTCCAGCAGTATAGCAGAGAATTGTGATATCTAGGCTAGCGATGGAATTTCCTAAATATTAGCCTTTTATGGTACACTTTGGTACACACATGGTGTCACATAATTTTTTTTAAGCATAGCCCTTAGGTTAGATGCCACATTAAATTGTATGCAGATGAAACAATGCCAGGATGGATAGACTTGCAGTTTACAGTGGTGTGCTCAGTGCAAAGGTCCAAGATCACATGTAATTTTCATAACTCACAACTTTTAAAATGAAGAAGTATTTGTCCATCAAATCTGGATGTTGTTAAACAACATTACAGTCCTTCGAACACACTGTACATTTATCCCTCAATCTTGTTTTCATTCCTGTCAAAGGTTAAATATGGTGCCACTGCCACCCTTCTTAAGGTATATTGGTCTATAAGTTATTATAGTAAAATATATGGTTCTCAACCTAGCTGGCCTCTATTGAGTAATTAATTTGAGTTAAATTTGCAACCCAGTTAGCCAATGTGGCATTTAAAAAAAAAAATTATTTATTCATTTTTTCATTTAATTCTTTTAAATACATGTATTTATTTATTTATTTATTTTTTATTTTTATGCATGTTTTTAATTTCATAAGAAATGTTACTTGAGCACAAATCAGCAATATTAGAATAATTTCTGGAGAATCATGTTGACACTGAAGACCGGAATAATTGCTTAAAATTCAGCTCTTTAAATAGTAATAATGCAAAAACACTTCTTTGACACTAACCATTTGCTGTAAAAGAAAAAAAAACTTTTATTTAAGGTCCTGTTCTGAACAATTTGTGGATAGTCTCAGAACACATTTTTGGCTTTAAACCTTCTTTCTTTCCTTCTTATTTCAGGGATTCGCCCACCAAGTTGGACAGAGAGGTTCTGTCAGCTTTAGGAGGCACAGACATTGACCCTCTGAAGCATCCCGGCATTCACAAATGGAAGAGCACAATTCAGGCATACTCCCACTTAGAAATGCAAAGGTAGGCATGTGGGTCATGTGAGAGTTATGTTACACTGCTGTCTACTACATTGCACAACCGTTCAAAAGAGATGTTTTTTTTTTTTAATCATTATTAAAAATCACTTATGTTACAAAAAAAAAATCAATTTTAAGGGGGACATCAGATGCCCATTTTCCACAAGTTGATATGATTCTTTAGGGTCTTAATGAAAAGTCTATAACATACTTTGGTTAAAATTTCTTAATGGTAGATTAAAACAACACCCTTTTTACCTTGTCAAAAACAGCTCTGTTCACAGCAAGCCGTTTCAGCGCATGTACCTTTAAATGCTAATGAGTTCTGCTCACCCCGCCCTTCTCTTCCGTGGGGTGACGAGCCGTTCTCATGAGACTGTAAACTTTAGACGCATTTAGCCGCGGAACTTGCTAACTAGCACATTATTTGGAAAGGCGATTTGCAAAGATTTATTAAAAAATAAACCTTATACTCACTTCTTCTGGGATCAAGAATGATTCGTGCAAACATAGATGCATTTAGGTAGATCGGGGGCGCATTCCCTTCAAAAACAAATGTAATCCACTGCATTATCAGTGGCTCAGATGTCAGGAGTAAATGACGACTGCTATGTTCATTATTACATCCAACAACAAAACACCTCAATTGCTTAGGAGCCATTCTTGTCTACAACTGCTCCGGTGTCGAAACAGTGGCGGACTGATGACCGCTCGCTCAGGGCAGGTCTGTGATAAAATGCCAGTGTCAGTCAACAATCGTGGGAGGGGCCTCGGTCTGTGTGACTTACATCAGGTCAGAATCTGTGAATGGCTTGATCTGGGAAAGGGGTTATTATTTTTGGGGATTTAAAAAACAAAAGCACTGGGTGGATTTTTATCATTATAGGGTGCATGTGTACACACACTGCCAACACACATTTATGTTCAAACAACATGTAAAAGTGAATTCAGCATCCGATGACCCCTTTAAATAAATGCTGTTCTTTTGAAGTTCTGTTAAAGATAAAATGTTTTATCACTGTCTCTGTGGTAAATATGTGACCCTGGACCACAAAACCTGTCTTAAGTGTACAAATGTTTTTTGGCTATTGCTAAAGATATACCCAAGTGACTTAAGACTGGTTTTGTGCTCCAGGGTCACATATATTAAAACAGAAAACATAATAATATAACACAATATCACTGTTTTTCCTGTATTTTGTATCAAATAGATGCAGTCCTGGAGAGTATAGGAAACTTCTTTAAAAAACATTTTTAAAAAACCTAAATGACAACAACAGGCCTTTTTTAAAGATCGCTCTTGAAAACATCTTGTGACAAATATTTATGTGCGCTGAGAGGTCTGTATTTATGTTTTCAGCTGGCAGACTCCTGCGGTGTACAAGAGCCATTTGAGGGCTCATTCAGTCACCCCTGGCTCTCCAGCGGGCGGCTTGAAGTCCCCCGCGGGTCGCTTCAGTCCAGCCCGTCACATGAGCTCACCGGACGTCTGCAGCCCAGCACACTCCAACTACAGTCCCGTGAGCTACATCCAGCAAATCCGACTCAAACATTTCGGCGACGCCCCCATTTAACACATGCTCTCCATCCCATCCGGCCCAATTTCTACCAATTAGCAACTGAAATAATAAGCGAATATGGGGATGAAACGTCACAGAAGAGAACGGTGTCACAACAGAAGCCATGAAATGCACAAATTGGACTCCTAGTGCCGTGCAAACCACAGAAAGGATCTCGCAACAGGCCGTCCTTCAGTTTCTATGCTCCTAGGTGCGTAGAACACAGCTCAAATAATAATATGCACATCTCCCGGGGTGTTCCCGAATCATAATAGAAATAGAAATATTCGGTACTTCTGTGTATGACACCCAGTGTGTTGATCTGTAATGGTCGTATAGACTTTTTCTAACCTGTTTTGTTTTGTTTTCTATTTTCCTTCTTATCTTTCTCTCTCTGTGTGTGTGTGTGTGTGTGTGTGTGTGTGTGTGTGTGTGAGTGTGTGTGTGCTTGGGAGATGTATCTGTGGAATTACAAAACTGTCTTGAATGGAAATGAACAATTTCAACACAGTCATTTAAATTGGGGGAAAAAAGATTTCCATGTATAAACACAGAAACCCAGAGCTAAATTAAAATAACATGGTAGTAAATTATTGAATTATTTTTGCTAGTTAACTGTCAGTAGCACAAAATACTCATTTTAATGGTTTTTAACTTTGGTTTTGAGACTTTAGTCTTTGCAACTTTAGGGATCTTATCTATGCACAATCAGCTTGTAACACTCCAAAGAGAAAGGAAAACTTGAAATCGCATCATATGACCCCTTTAAGGTTAAAAAAGAAAAACGTCACCTGACTGCCAGGAGTTATTTTTATTCCTTGATTGGAGAACTGCCTTAAATTTCTAAAAAAAAAAAGACCAACTTCTGAATCTGAAAAGCAGGTGTTGATTCTTGCTTTGCTAATAGAAGCAAGAGGTCTATAACGTGTGAGTATTCCCTTTTTTAAGTTTAATAAATGTGATTTATTTCTATGTATGCATTTGTTTGCACTTTTAATTCTTTTTGGAGTTTGACACAGTTCGTCGTGAGCAACAGATGAGACTCTGTTTAAGCCGTGCCACATTCAAGCACATGCAGAGTTGATGATCGATAAGGAGTGTGTCTTGTTCCGTTAATGTCATAAAGACTTGATGATTGTGGATCCAGAGTGTTGTAAGTGCACTTTAAAGTGCCCCTATTATGGGTTATGAAAGGTTCATATTTTGGTTTTGGGAGTCCCCAACAACAGGTTGACATGCATGCAAGGTCAAAAAACACTTTCATTGTCTTATAATATGCATTTATTTTTACCTTACTTGCTCAACGACTTCCAAACGATTCGTTTAAAGATTCATTTTTCCAAATCCCTCCTTTGCGTGACGCTAATCAGCGGTGATTGGTCCGATTGGTCTTATTTTCATTTCATCTTGCCTGTAATGCCTGATAAAGCAGCGTTTGTGAGCGCAGTGCTGCTTTGTTTACAGCCGTTACCGGGGAAACAGCTACTTCTCCAACAGTGGCACCTAGTGGCAAAGAATGAATTTGCATTTTCATTCAGACCAACATAAATGACCAATATTTTAGTCTCACCGCTAGATCATGTCGATGCGATTCTCTCGCTGGCTTTTGAAATGGCTCAGTTTGCCAGATTCAATCCATTGATTTTGGAATAAAAGCTACATGACTAGAAGCAGAAAAGCTCCAGGTAGCTCAGTTTTATGTGATGAATATCTCAAGGAATCGAGTCCAGAACATCCTCTGTGGTACTTTCAGATCATATGATCTATTTCTTTGGTGCCCATCAATCTGAGCTTTAGTGCCTTTGATTATGATCTGTTTGGAGCATACGGAACACAGATGCACTGACCACATACAAGCTGAATAGACCTTTTTTTTCTGTTTCCTAGGATAAAATACAGTACGGTAGCATTGGCATATGCAGTGTCTGAATACCTCTTAAAAACGATTGTAAGAGAAGAAAAAAGGTTTACAGTTTAGTTATTGCTAGTGTTGTATCAATGCCAGCCTTACTCTTTTGTTAAATGATGCTTTGTAGTGCCAACACTGGTGAATTGTAAATGAGTTGCAGTTTGTTGAGAATTGAATTATTTTTGTTGTCCTGGCCTTTACGTTGCATGCATTTCTAGTCCTATTTTATTACAGTACACGTTAAAGAAGAGTATTTGATGTTCTATTGACGAACGATAAATAAAGTGCGCAGTCTTGTAACTTCACTGACTTTCTCTGGCTCTACAAGAAAAATCTCGTTATGAAAAGTTGCAAATTGACATTTCTTTGAGGTACAAAACACATTCAGATTTCTCCCATTACTGTATTTGTAAACGATAAGGTCTTTTTATTTTGTGCATGACTGTTCAAATGTTTAGAGCCTGTCTCTTATGCTCACAAAGGCTGCATGTATTTGATCAAAAAATAGTAAAGCAGTAATATTGTAAAACATTTTTACAATTTAAAGTAACTTTTCCTATTTTTATTCCTGTGATGACAAAGATGCAGTCTTCAGTGTCATATGATCCTTCAGAAAGCATTCTAATATGCTGATTTGCCGCTCAAGAAATATTTATCTATGATGAAAACAGATGTGCGGTTTAATATTTTCTCTGAAAAATCTGGAAAAAAAAAATTTCAGAATTATTTAAAACAGAAAGTTCAAAAGAAATATATTTATTTGAAATATAAATAGTCTTTACTGTCACTTTTGATCAATGAATATATATATTTTATAAATGTCTTTAAAATAATCTTACTCACCCCACACTTCCAAACAATAGTGTATCTAAGTAAACATTATAAAAACATTTTTCACCAGAATAAAAAAGGTAGATTCTGCATAAAGAAAAAAAAGTGTCCAATTAGGATTACTTTTTATTTACATAAATATTTGTTTACTGTGTTACAGTCAAACAAAAATGCAAGTCACACTGCTAAAATTACTCAAGGACCTAAAATAGGCTTAATGTCCTAATTATTATTATCATTATTTTTCTTCTTCTTCAGGTAAAATACGACCTGGACATTTTTTTAAATCCATTACCTGAATCAAACAATAAATGACACTAGTAAACAACTCAATGAATTTATTTTTTTACTGCCATAAACAACAACATACAAACAATTCTACAGAATCATCCTCAAACTTTCAACGGCAAGATTCTCACATTTTAGCAAACTCAAACCTTGCCTCTAAAACAATCATAAACGATTCCAAGTAAACAGTGCAAATACACACCAACTGCCTCAAGGCCTCCAGAGTTTACATAATGCTACTGGAAAAAGACACCTCGTCGTAAACATAAAAAAAGTACACTTGCTGGTTAATTCCACCTTTTCAGTGTCACATGATCCTTCAGAAAGCATTCTAATATGCTGATTTGCTGCTCAAGAAATATTTATCTATGATGAAAACAGATGTGCTGTTGAATATTTTCTCTGAAAAATCTGGACTTTTTTTTTTTTTTTCAGAATTATTTAAAACAGAAGGTTCAAAAGAAATATATTTATTTGAAATATAAATAGTCTTTACTGTCACTTTTGATCAATGAATATATGTATTTTATAAATGTCTTTAAAATAATCTTACTCACCCCACACTTCCAAACAATAGTGTATCTAAGTAAACATTATAAAAACATTTTTCACCAGAATAAAAAAGGTAGATTCTGCATAAAGAAAAAAAAGTGTCCAATTAGGATTACTTTTTATTTACATAAATATTTGTTTACTGTGTTACAGTCAAACAAAAATGCAAGTCACAATGCTAAAATTACTCAAGGACCTAAAATAGGCTTAATGTCCTAATTATTATTATCATTATTTTTCTTCTTCTTCAGGTAAAATACGACCTGGACATTTTTTTAAATCCATTACCTGAATCAAACAATAAATGACACTAGTAAACAACTCAATGAATTTATTTTTTTACTGCCATAAACAACAACATACAAACAATTCTACAGAATCATCCTCAAACTTTCAACGGCAAGATTCTCACATTTTAGCAAACTCAAACCTTGCCTCTAAAACAATCATAAACGATTCCAAGTAAACAGTGCAAATACATACCAACTGCCTCAAGGCCTCCAGAGTTTACATAATGCTACTGGAAAAAGACACCTCGTCATAAACATAAAAAAAGTACACTTGCTGGTTAATTCCACCTTAGATCAGACAAAGCATGGCACAGGAGTGTAATTGACAACATACAAACAATTCTACAGAATCATCCTCAAACTTTCAACGGCAAGATTCTCACATTTTAGCAAACTCAAACCTTGCCTCTAAAACAATCATAAACGATTCCAAGTAAACAGTGCAAATACACACCAACTGCCTCAAGGCCTCCAGAGTTTACATAATGCTACTGGAAAAAGACACCTCGTCGTAAACATAAAAAAAGTACACTTGCTGGTTAATTCCACCTTAGATCTGACAAAGCATGGCACAGGAGTGTCTAATTGAAGAAACATCAATAATTCTTAACTTGCTTGTTTTAAAAAATACAAAATCAATACACACAAGACACTTGTGGAGTCACTGATCAACACAGCAACAGATGCTAGAGTTGCAAATGAAATTTTCACAGCAATCTTCTCCTAAATTGCAGCTATGCAAGATTTTTATTATGATGAATATGAAATCACATTCCGTATTCTGGAATACTGCGACTCTGAAACAGCATAAAAAAAAAAAAAAGTTCAGGAGAACATTTAAGGATTTTTTTTTTGATCCTTTGCAACTCTAACATCTGTCCATCTCAATGATCCTTCGGTTCTAGGCTGTTTTGAGGCATGCTGGTCTAGCTTGAGAACGTCATGTCCGGGTGAGTTTATCTGGAGGCATGAAGCCCGAGTCTCCCAGCGCTCTGAGAGCCACTCGGCCACTGGGCCGAATCGTCAGCCAGGTGATGCTGCCGTTGTTCAGGCCCATCCTCAGCCAGCCCTCTGCAGGAAACTGCAGAGCCCTGGAACAAACATTTCCATTACAGTCATGCTTTTGACATTTTCTTAGAAAGAACGGAACAGTTCCCTCAGCATGTTCCTGATGAGTCATGTGAACAAACAGATTACACAACATGAGTTTGCGGTTGGCTGAAATATTCAAAATTTACACAAATTCAGAATCAGAATTAGCTTTATTCGCCAAGTGAGCGCAAATACAAGAGGAATTTGTTGTGGTTTTTCAAGAAACTAGCACAAGAATTGAGAAAATTAGTCATAACCACAATGTAACTAATAAACTAAAAAATAATATAATTAATAAAGTTTCATAAAAAATAATTATTTTAATAAATAAAAATGAGTGAAATTTAATGCAAATATTTTTTTTTCCATTCTATAAAGCTTAAAGGGATCGTTCACCCAAAAATGAAAATTCTGTCATTAATTACTCAGCCTCATTTCGTTCCAAACCCGTAAGACCTTCGTTCATCTTAGGAACACAAATGAAGATGTTTTTGATGGAATCTGAGAGCTCTCTGAGCCTCCATAGACAGCAAGGATACTACCACGATCAAGGCACAGAAACGTAGCAAGGACTTCGGTAAAATAGTCCATGTGACATCAGGGGTTCAACCGTAATTTTACGAAGCTACGAGAATACTTTTGTGCGCAAAGAAAACAATAATAACGTAATTTTTCAACAATTCTTCTCCCCGAGTTACCATCTTCTGCCATTTTGGTACCCCAGAACAGAGCTCTCAGATTCCATCAAAAATATCTTCATTTGTGTTAATACTACCACGATCAAGGCACAGAAACGTAGCAAGGACTTCGGTAAAATAGTCCATGTGACATCAGGGGTTCAACCGTAATTTTACGAAGCTACGAGAATACTTTTGTGCGCACAGAAAACAATAATAACGTAATTTTTCAACAATTCTTCTCCCCGAGTTACCATCTTCTGCCATTTTGGTACCCTAGAACAGAGCTCTCAGATTCCATCAAAAATATCTTCATTTGTGTTACGAAGATGAACGAAGGTCTTACAGGTTTGGAACGACGTGAGGCTGAGTAATTAATGACAGAATTTTCATTTTTGGGTGAACTATCCCTTTAACTCTTGCTTTAGAGGTATGAGCAACAGTAATAGGGATGTTTGACTTCGCAAGAACTACTGATAAAAGGTTGCAAACAGTTTTTCATGAATTCCATATCTTTAATATGGAAGCTCATTTCTACCACATAAGAACATTATGCTCGAGTAAACCATAATTATGAGACAAAAAGTCACATTTTTGTCAGAATTATGACCTTATCTCATAAGTTACATGAGCATCTCATAATTTCAATTTTGTCATAATTATGAACTACCAAAGCATAATTATTTTTTCTTATGTGGCTGAAATGGGCTTCTATGAAACTTTTGCAACCACACACACATAACAATACAAAGTGATCAGAGCATACTTACGATTACATTCATTCTCCATGGACAGACTGCTGTGGTTTTTATAAAATGTTTTTTTTTATTTATTTTTTTTTATGAAAGCTTCAAAGAGCACAAAAAGGAAGATAAAAAGACTGCACTGAGTAGCAAGTGAACACAAACCTGCACACAAAATAGCGGATGACATTAGCATGACAGACGATGATCTCGTAGCTGTCTTCCTTCTGCTTAGGGTCCGCTCGGTGGATGTAGCGGCGGAACGCTGCCTCGATCCGTGCGCCGTCCTCATGGTACTGCTGAAACCAGCACAAGAGTTTCACAACCATCCACGTGAGGAGAGGAAGGACTCCGCAGCGCACCCACGACAAAACCAAACCCAACATTCTCCAAAATACATGTCAGACATCAAGCTTTAGGATGACCAGCGGGAAAACAAGAACACTGATGTTTGTTGAAGAGATTTGGAATGGTTTGATTGTGGGTTTTGTACGCCAGCAGTAACCTTAGCAGTTTGTTCTGTTATGACTTGAGTCATCAGCAGAAACAAGACACACAAAGACAATCAAACGTGGGGACTAACAGACAGGGCCTTCAGACTGGCTAAGTAAGACTTTGCACTGACCACTGCCTCAGGTTTCCAGTGCGTGACAGGTGGGACGGGCTCTATGGGCGCACCCTCTCGCAGTAAATCACAGCTCACAAGCTCCGCAACTATAGCACAACATGAAGAAAAGAACAATTCAGAATCTCCACTATGGCAACACTTTACATATTTATCCTTCTCATGCTTTTTTTAAGCCTTACAGTTAAAATCAGGGCCTGAATTTCGTTTTGGAAAATGGGGGAATTCCCCCTTCAGGTGACTCTAATGGGGGGATTTTTTTAATTTGAGGGGGGAGCTGGGGGATTTTTTAGACCTATTTTTAAACTACTATCATCTAATCTAAAAATGTTTTGTCACGCAGTGTAATTGTGTTTCATAACATTGTTGATTCATATTTATATTATGAGGAAGATACTTAAAAAGTACTTTGATTTTAAACTCTGAATTTATTTTAACTAAAAAAGACAAGTAAACAGTCAGTAGTAAAATAAGAATAGATAAATGACAAGCAATGACAAATAAATACAATAAGATACAACTGAAATTAATGTGCTTTACGTTTTTCAGGCAGGTATAACAGTAATATTCAGGTACAGAAATACCACAGAAACTGAATAATCTATTCAACTTTAAAATAACACTGATTAGTCTTCTGTGTCCAAATAAACATGAATGGCAGACAGTAGCGGGTTTATTTAGGTTGCGGTCTCTTTAAGACCTCATGCGCGGATCTAACATATACTGTTACACATTTACATTAACTTAATAGCCTATACCGACCATGTTTAGTATAAATCGGCTGTTTACGTAAATACTCATCATTTTGACAATTTTGTATGTATTTGGTAAATTTTGTATTTACGCGCAATAAGGCTCAACACATAACTTAATTCTGAAGTCGCGAGTACTGAATTGAGTTCTCTTTGGCGTCATCTTACACAGACTAAAAAGCACGTGCAAATGATACATTCCATCATCATTCCCGAACTTCTTTCTTCCGAAAAATATTTGTGGGAATTTCCGTGTTACAAGCGTGGAAACTGCGGGAATGAGTAGAAATAGGCGCAATACCCACAATCCTGCACCAAAATTCAAGCCCTGAAAATGTTCTATTTTAAACTGCTCAAGCGCAATAAGATGTGAAGGGGAACTCAATTCAGTATTTGCACGGTGTTCTGACAGATGTTTACATCTAAAGTGCGCCTACAGAAAGCTGCCTGTCACAGCAAGCAAGTACTGAATTCCTGTTTGTTTGTTTTTTTGCTTTAACAAGCTTTTAGCTGTCAAAATGTCAGTCTTGGGGAGTATTCATATAATATCTAAAATATCAGTTTTTGCTGTAGTATTGAAATAATCAGGAATTGTGAAATTTTCATGTCATCTAAAATGCTGCCATTGTAATCACCTTATTTCTAACAAGACAACTATTGTGATATATATACTGTAGTTATCTTGAAAAATCAAATTACTCTTATTGCAATATACATTTTTGGTGATATCGCCGCCCCTAAACACACAAAGCTATCATACAAGTCTCAGAATACAGCACACAAGTCATATGGATATGCTTTTTTTTTTTTGGAGGGGGGTCATTTTTAGAGCCTGACATTATCCATCCACTTTTACTTTGACTGTAAGGAGGACAAAACACCCAAGAGATTTTGCTAAACTTCTTTTGTGTTTTTTTTTTCTTTTCTGTTTTTGTTTTTTTTCAATACCATGCCAGCTTCTATGGCTATGTTCATGACAAGAGCAAGGTTTAGTTATTCGAGATATTTAAACATGTGACGTGCCCTGTAAGCATCTCTCTTTTTCTTTATTAGTTAAGTTAACTTATTACTTTAATTAGTTTATTAATGCACACACTTTAACAACAAATGCGTCTTCTTTCAAAAGACACCACAATGAAATGCCTGCTACAAGCTATTATGACTTGTATGATCATCCAATCATAACCGAATTAAATTAGGTGAAGAAGAATAGAACAGTTTTAGCTGAAAGGTTTAATCCTAGATCAACTCTTCACTAGGGCTGTGTATTGGCAAGAATCTGGCGATACGGTACGTATCACGATACAAGGGTGCGATACGATATGTTGGGATACATTGCAATACTGTAAGCAAGGGCAATATATTGGGATATTTCTTATTTTAGGAATAGGATATACTTTTAGGAAAATTGTCATTAAGAACACCATTTGCAAACCTTAGCAAAAATTAAATAAATAATACATAAAAATATATTATTTAACCAGAACACAGTGGGAAATGCATTTGCATTAATCAGTCCCTGTAACATTCAACGTTATTGAACCACTTTTAGTGCAGTACGAGTCAAGGGGGGAAAGTAAAGTGCTTGCAGGATTCTTTAGTTAAATTAAATGTATAAAGCTGTTATAATCAGACCATATTTATTTTTAGACCTTGCTTAAAGGGATAGTTCTCCCAAAAATGAAAATGTGATGTTTATCTGCTTACCCCCAGGGCATCCAAGATGTAGGTGACTTTGTTTCTTCAGTAGAACACATATGAGGATTTTTAACTTTAACCGTTGCAGTCTATCAGTCGTATAATGCATGGCAATGGTAACAAAATCTATGAGAGTAAAAAAAACATACACAGACAAATCCAAATTAAACCCTGCGGCTCGTGACGACACATTGATGTCCTAAGACACGAAACGATCGGTTTGTGCCAGAAACCGAACAGTATTTATATAATTTTTTACCTCTGATCCACCACTACGTCCAACTGTCTTTGAGCGCGCGCACGGCATTCGATGCGCGAGGTGTGTACGCGCTCTGGCGTAGTTTACGTCTTAGGACATCAATGTGTCGTCACGAGCCGTTTTTTTTACTCTCATAGATTTTGTTACCATTGCCGTGCATTATACGACTGATAGACTGCAACGGTTGGAGTTAAAAATCATCATATGTGTTCTACTGAAGAAACAAAGTCACCTACATCTTGAATGCCCTGGGGGTAAGCAGATAAACATTAAATTTTCATTTTTGGGTGAACTATCCCTTTAAAGGTTCATAGTTTAGGTTTACTATTGTAACATACAATGTCATAACATTTTTAGAGATAAGACGACTGCTATCTAGCGGTCGGGATATAAACTCAAAACAACTGCCATGAATCTTGTATGATTTTTTTTTTTAAATATCGATATTGCGTTTTTGAGAATCGATACAGTATCGCCAAACAAAATAACGCGATACTCACGTGTATCGATGTTTTCTTCAGAATGAGTCTGTACCTGGCAGGTATTTGCTGATGATGTTGGCTGTCTCTGTAGCTCTGGTCATGGAGGAGTGGATGAGAACGTCGTACTTCAGTCCGAGTGCCGCTAATCTCTGTCCTGTATACTCAGCCTGTTCACGTCCTGCAGCCAAGACAGAAACCAGCATGTGATCTACTTGGTGGCATAATGTAGCATGTAATGGATTAGTTTGAGCACTTCTATCATTTGATATATGCTGAGGGATCAGTACCTAAAGGAGTCAGTATCTTCTCTTTATCTCCATCCCCCTTGAGGTTGTACTGAGAGTGTCTGATGAGGAAGATGTGGCGTGTGGCTTTGGGTTTGCTGTTCTCCGCATCTGGACTTCCACTGTCGCCGGCACTCTCCTTTCTCTTCCCGTTCACCAGAGATGAGGGGTCACGTCTGAAAGCGTCAAAAAGTGTTCAAACTAGCTATTCACAAAGTAGGCCCACTGAACTCAGTCCAGTAAATAATTACTGAAACACGCTGCATTGAAGGCATACATTTTTATCAGTTAAGAAAATGGCTACAATATGGTTTATAATATTCACTGTTTATGAACAACAACAAAAAACATTTAAAACAGCTGCTACAGTTTTAAAAACCACATGCACGTGTTTTATTAATGTTTGAAGACTATTAACTATATGTTAAAGGTTTGCTGTTTTACCTTGTTTTTTCATAGTTTCATCATTTTTGATGAATTTTACTGAATCTGATTCATACCGAATCCCACCATAATAAACTGTTCCAGATTTTAAACATTATACAAGGGTCAAGTCTATAACTGAACCTGAAATTGTCAGTGGGCAGACACTTTCAAAAGTGCTTATAAGGTTTTAAGTCGGTTTGAACAATCCGGATAAGCGCAAGTAAGTACCATTTTGATTAGCCGTCGTACCTACAATGACTGTGCACTGTGTAAACAATGAGTGACGTATACGCGCGAGAGATCACTTCCGGCGCTTGCATAAACTACGCCAGAGCGCGTACACACCTCACACACCGGATGCCTGCGCGCGCTCAAAGACAGTTGGACATAGTGGTGTATTAGAGGTAACAAATTATATAAATACTGTTCGGTTTCTCGCACAAACCGATCGTTTCGTGTCTTAGGACATCAATGTGTCGTCACGAGCCGTTTTTTTTACTCTCATAGATTTTGTTACCATTGCCGTGCATTATACGACTGATAGACTGCAACGGTTGGAGTTAAAAATCATCATATGTGTTCTACTGAAGAAACAAAGTCACCTACATCTTGGATGCCCTGGGGGTAAGCAGATAAACATTAAATTTTCATTTTTGGGTGAACTATCCCTTTAAAGGTTCATAGTTTAGGTTTACTATTGTAACATACAATGTCATAACATTTTTAGAGATAAGACGACTGCTATCTAGCGGTCGGGATATAAACTCAAAATGAAACAACTGCCATGAATCTTGTATGATTTTTTTTTTTAAATATCGATATTGCGTTTTTGAGAATCGATACAGTATCGCCAAACAAAATAACGCGATACTCACGTGTATCGATGTTTTCTTCAGAATGAGTCTGTACCTGGCAGGTATTTGCTGATGATGTTGGCTGTCTCTGTAGCTCTGGTCATGGAGGAGTGGATGAGAACGTCGTACTTCAGTCCGAGTGCCGCTAATCTCTGTCCTGTATACTCAGCCTGTTCACGTCCTGCAGCCAAGACAGAAACCAGCATGTGATCTACTTGGTGGCATAATGTAGCATGTAATGGATTAGTTTGAGCACTTCTATCATTTGATATATGCTGAGGGATCAGTACCTAAAGGAGTCAGTATCTTCTCTTTATCTCCATCCCCCTTGAGGTTGTACTGAGAGTGTCTGATGAGGAAGATGTGGCGTGTGGCTTTGGGTTTGCTGTTCTCCGCATCTGGACTTCCACTGTCGCCGGCACTCTCCTTTCTCTTCCCGTTCACCAGAGATGAGGGGTCACGTCTGAAAGCGTCAAAAAGTGTTCAAACTAGCTATTCACAAAGTAGGCCCACTGAACTCAGTCCAGTAAATAATTACTGAAACACGCTGCATTGAAGGCATACATTTTTATCAGTTAAGAAAATGGCTACAATATGGTTTATAATATTCACTGTTTATGAACAACAAAAAACATTTAAAACAGCTGCTACAGTTTTAAAAACCACATGCACGTGTTTTATTAATGTTTGAAGACTATTAACTATATGTTAAAGGTTTGCTGTTTTACCTTGTTTTTTCATAGTTTCATCATTTTTGATGAATTTTACTGAATCTGATTCATACCGAATCCCACCATAATAAACTGTTCCAGATTTTAAACATTATACAAGGGTCAAGTCTATAACTGAACCTGAAATTGTCAGTGGGCAGACACTTTCAAAAGTGCTTATAAGAAAGCACAGTATGAAAGAAGAAACTATATTAGTAACAATTAACGTCTTAATGTCTAAGACTAAATCTTCCTGAGCAAAAAATAAATCAATAAAAAAGGTCACAGACACCATTTCGATCACTGCCAAATGTGGTGCGGCTTAGTTAGTGGTTAAAGACCTGGGATCAAACCTAAAACTGGGTGATCCATTCATTATAACCACTGATCAAGGCATTAAACCTCAGGCTACACGAACTCGCCATAAATGATTTTTGGACATGTTGCCATGGCAGCACAACGGTTTTCTGAACATGTACGATGGTAGTACCATATTATTCTTAGAGATACCTTAAAATACTATGCAAATACAATAGTAATCAATCAGAAATAAGTCTATATTGCTTACTTGTCCCAATTATAATCCCATCCGTTCGCAGTGGGCCATGCCGGAGTCTGCGCTGCTCGCACGGCAGCCAGAGTCTCTCTTAACCGGCATCGGTCTGCGAAGTAGCCGTGCTTATCTGCCGCGACCGCCGCGCACACCAGCACCGCGGATCCGCCGGCGAAGCCGCACGCAAGACTGATCGCTCTCCGAAACGACATGATTTAAAAGAGAGGAGTCAACGGAAAGTAACGTTAACGGCTGCTCTTCAGCGCTATGACGCGCACTGAGGAAGTCCCGCCGTTTCCTCCTTTCAAATTTTAATTTACATAAACTGAAAATGACTTGAAAGCTGTCACTGGTACCTCGCCATGACCATTAAAAAAAACACACCAAAAAAAATAGTTTTTTTCCTAAGCCATGTGTAAGAGAATGTATTTGGACTCAAGAAACGTCCAAAAGCGGTCACGACGAATGTGTGAAAATAGCAACAAAAAACACGTTATTTCTGAAAATAAAAGTCCCCAGCATACAAAGTAACAGTTTACAAGTTATCAGTTTTTTCTTCAAACTAATTAGTTATTACATTTTTTTTTACATTTTCAAATATGCTTAAATATTGATTGTGCTTTATTCGATTACGTAGTTGTTTTATACGTATTAATTAACGTATTAATATTCGTTTCAAAACACTGAATTACATTGAATAAAATACAATGAATATTTAAGCATATTTGAAACTGCTAAAAGTGTTTATATGTGGGTGTCACTTTTAGCAGTTTCAAATATGCTTAAATCTATGCTTAAATATTCATTGTATTTATGCAATTAATTCTACACTTTTACATATTTACATCATATTTATTTTATGATTTATTTTTCTATATTAGGCCATTTTGCTCCAGACCTGTAGATGGCAGTAAAATGTCAGCAGCAAATGCTGCCCATGAGCAGCGGATTTATGTTTTGATTATGGTGGCGACATGTTTTGCTGTTGTTAATTAAAAGTTGTATTTTATTTCGATTGAACGTATCATATATCCACATATCTGTCCCTTGAGTTGTAGTAAAGATGGACACGGACGAGGAGGGAGACAATGACTGGGATGGCAGTTTAGAGTCAGACAGGCTGGAGACTGTGTCAACTTGATATGTTTTTATTATAGACAGAATTTCTTCAAGGTCCTCATGTTTGCTTAGTGTAAATGCACAGCCCAGTGTCTCATGACAGCTGCAATTTGAATAGACTGCAACAAGGTTTGGAGCAGCCTCTGTCAGGTAGACAGTATGTACAGTAACTGTGCTTTTGTATCTTATCTTTTCAGAAGGAAGTTCCACTGACAGAGTTACATCCGTATCCCAGTCAGAGAGTGATCCTGCACTTTGACCTGGACTGCTTCTATGCACAAGTTGAGATGATCCGAAATCCAGCCCTTCGGACCAAACCTCTTGGTAAAACACCACAGAATATACACTTTACAACTTTATTCACCAAGTATAGGATATACAACAAATACAGTATGTCCTGATGCAGTTTCCGAGACAATACACGCTAAAACACTTTAATGCAAGTTCTACAGTCATGTTTGAAAAAATGTATCATGATTTCCACAAACATATTAAGCAGCACAACTGTTTTCAACATTGCTAATAATTTTAAATGTTTCCTGAGCTGCAAATCAGCATATCAGAATGATTTCTGAAGGATCATGTGACACTGAAGACTGGAGTAATGATGCTGAAACTTCAGTTTTGTCTCGAAATACATTAAAATTGAATAAACCCGTTATTTTAAATTGTAACTGTTTCATATTACTGCTTTCACTTTATAAAGGCAGCCTTGATGAGCATAGGAGACTTTTTTTTTTTTTCAAAAACAGACCCTAAACTTTTGAACATAACTGTTAAGTTAAATACCAATTAATGAGTTTGTCTGATATCTATTCAGGAGTACAATCCAAAGTTCACGGTTTGGATTAACTGTGAATCAGGTTATCAAACAAGAGCCAGCAATACTTGCAATACCATAATGCCAGTGTCAAGAGCAAGCTGGAGGGAGAAAAAAGCTCCGAAGTAAAAGTAACAATAAAATGAAGAAACATTGGTGCTTCAGTTTAGCTACTTCAATTTTTAGCTAGCTCTGAAAGTAAAGCTGAATATTTAAGAAAAATTGTTCTCTAAGATGCTGTTTATGGACTTCTTAGATGCTGTTTGTAAAAGTAAAAGTTTGGGAGCTATTAGATGTTCAATGATTTTGAAAGATATTTCTTATGCTCACCAAGTGTGCATTTATTTGATCAGGAATACAGTTAAAATTGAAATATTGTGAAATATTATTGCAATTTAAAATAACTGTTTTCTATTTAAATACATGTTACAATGTAGTTTATTGTATTATTAAAGCTGAATTCTCAGCAGCCATTACTGAATAATCATTTCTCATTATTATCAATGTTAAAAACATTTGTGCAGCTTAATATTTTTGTGGAAACCATGATGAGTAGAAAGATAAAAAATATAATTTTTGTAACATTATAACTGTCTTTACATTATAAATGTCTTTTTTGATCAATTTAATGCATCCTTGCTGAAAAAAGCTTGATTTATTTAATTAAAAATACAGTAAAAAAAAAATTAATAAATAAAACATTTACATTTTGAAATAACAGTTTTTATTTTAAAACATTTTAAAGTGCAATTTATTTATGTAATGTCAAAGCTGAAATTTCAGCAGCCATTACTCCAGTCTTCAGTGTCACATGATATTTCAGGAATTATTCTGATTTGGTGCTTACGAAACAGTTCTTATTATTAACAATGTTTATTTAAAATATATATATTTTTTACATTTTACATTACTGACACTTTTGATCAATTTAATACATATTTGCTGAATAAAAGTATTTTCTTTACAAAAAAAACCCAAAACATACTTGCCCCAAACCTTTGGACAGTAGTTTATATATTTATTTTATGTATTTATTAATGAATACCTCAGGTACAAACGAGTTCTTGCTAACTGAAAACCATGCATTTAGCTTTTTATATGCTAATTTAAGGCAGCAGTAACTTGAAAACAGCACAAATTTGTTTTGCCTTGTCAAGATAAAACATGGAACTGCATAAAAACACATTGATATCTCCAACCCAAGAATTACAAACACAGCCACCCTTAATCAACACCAAATCTCCCAGGCAGCCTGTTTTAGAGCACTCACAAGAGTCTTTTGCGAGCAACGTTCCTGAGAAAACAGTGTGTTCCAAGCTGCCGCGAGGCGTCAATCCAGAAGTATTCCAACTCCTTCCTGAACACATTCAGATGGAGCTGATTTCCAGTTTACAAAATGAAGACTCTGCACAGCTCAATTACGCTGACGCATCTTCTGAGGATGTTGACCCAGCAGATCATTCCACGTTGGCTTTTAAACAACCAACAACAGAACCCTGCGAGTCAGCACTGAATTATAACAGAAAACCTGCATCTCATAACCATGAACTCAGCAAGACTGTCATCCGCTCAGTCCACCATGGAATTAAACTCTGGACTCGTCAAAGCCACAGAAAGTCTTGATATCCCACCCGCCACTCAGGCACCTCAATCAGATGTCCCTGCCAGTGTGGACCCTTATGTATTCTCACAACTTCCTGCTGACGTGCAAAGAGAGTTACTGACTGAGTGGAGACAACAGAAGCCGGTCCTAAAAATCCCATCCAAACACTCACATAAAACCTCCAATACCAAAGATAAGAAGAGTGCAGCTAAAGGCAGCCAGTGTAACAACATACTGAAATACTTCAAACCCAACTGAGGGCAGAAACACTTAAGTGCCTGTTTATAAACAAAAAAAAAAAAAGTAGAATATGCATGTAAACCACATCTTTGTAATCAGCCTTCATAGACGAATAGTTCACAGAAAAATGTTAATTCTGTCATTTACTCACCTTAATGTCAAACCTGTATGACTTACTTTCTTGCATTGCTCATGAAAAGGGATGCTGGGAAACAAGGTCATCCTGGTTTGGAACAATTAGGGTGAGCAAATCACCACAGAATTTTAAGATATGTATTATTTTGTTAATAAACCATACACATCTTTAAATAATCATGATGTTATTTTAGTTATTGAATAGCTTATCACATTTTTTTGCATAAATAAACGATTTCTAATAATAGTATTTGTAATATTAAAATGAACTACCCTTCAAACGTGTGGGGTTGGTAATATTTTCTAATGTCTAATGCTATGCTACCAAAGCTGCAGTTATTTGATCAAAAATACTGTAAAAACAGTAATATTGTGGAACCTAAAAGTTATTTTTTATGTAATTTATCCATTGTATTTATTTATTTTTGAGAAACAGTATCCTTCTCTGCATTCCTTGCTTTACGAAGCTTTTAATTCATCTTTAGCCTTAGCCAAAAACAGTGTTTTACATTTTAAACCATGGTTGCAAAACTATAATTAGGCCAATTTTAAGAACTTTTATTTTAAAATATTTTCAGACTTCCGGTACCGTTCACTGTTGCAGTTCGCTCTTTAGTCGCGCGCAGCTTCTTCCTGCATCTCCTTCCGGCACATCACACCTCTTTATTCAGTGTATTATAAGCTCTATTCGATTTTTCTTCATTGCACATCACCGGTTGTCAGGTCGCCTACGAGGATGAAGGGAGCGAAATTGGCCGTGGTTTTGAGCGTGTTTTTGGCCTTGGTCCTCCTGACTGAGGCGGCGCGAAGCAGGAAAGACTCGAGCAGCCAGAACAGCTTCAGGAGGGCGGCCAGTGGCTTCTACCAAACCCTCGGCAATATCTTCGGAGAGGAGAACATCAGGGCTCTGTACAAGGTCCATATAAGATCGTGCGATATTTTCATGCAGTTTAAAAATGTAGTTGTGTTTGCAGGTGCTCTAGTTAAAGGCCCGAAGAGATCACCAGCTGTCAATGGCTGTGTTTCAAAATCTAGTGTGCTGCCTACCTAGAGAGCGTGCTGTAGATGGGCATCTTTCTGTTTATTTCGGTCACTAGTGCTGTGTAGTGCTGCCACTATTTCGGACTTTTATCGGTAACGCTTTATAATAATAACTTCAGTAAATACGTGATTTATATTGTATAATTAAAATATGATTTTAACAATTTCATAAATTATTAGTCTATTAATTATGCACATTAAATGCCCTCAAAATCATTTGTAACTATTAATTTTTCATAATTTATTTACTTGTTATATATAATATATGGGTGTGTGCTATTTTAATTAATTTAGCTAAATATTTGAATGTACATTAATGGGCTTTTGTACTGTACTGTTATAGGCTATATGTTATGAGAAAATAAGCATATTTATTTCGCCTATGTTTGCCATAATGGAAAAGATCTCATTATTATTACTGTAAAGCAAATTATTATTATTGTTATTATTACTAACACTGTCTCAAGTCTCAATTTATTTATAAAGCACAATTAAAAACAACTACAGACACACTAACACTTGTTGTTG